TCTTTCTTTCTTTCTTTCTTTCTTTCTTTCTTTCTTTCTTTCTTTCTTTCTTTCTTTTACACACAAGTTCTTTCTTTCTCACCACCACATTTCTGGCTGTACCGCCCTAAACTAAAATGGGATCACTATGCCATCTTCGATAGTACCTGACAAGGCATTCTTCCTTGGCACGTAATTTATTCTCTTCTGTTTCAGAATATGAAGATGGTGTCTGTTCCTGAAAAGGCTTATGGGAGTTTCTTTGAAGGAGATTGCTACATCATATTAAATGTGAGCTCTGGTGGGGAAGGGGTAGTTGAACTAAATGTGTTATGCATTAGAGGGAAAAAAAAACAGGAGTGGCTGGGTTTAACATCTTCTACATACATAGTAGAAAGTCGGATCCCCAAATTTCTATTACTTTAAAATAAAATTAACCGTGGACGCAGGGTCTTTGCCCTCCGTATTTTGCATTCCAAGGAATAACGGGGAAAAAATGAAATTCGGTCAGCTGATTTTTAAAAGGAGGAGTCAGCATCTCTGGATCAACTTCCCTATCATTCTAACATTAGCATTAACTCTGTCCTCTTGATGGAATTTCAGCAATTCTGTTTTGCTGAAATCAAGTGGAATTCAACTGAAATCAGCACGAAATCAGGTTGGGGCATTTATGGAGGTCCAGTTGTTATTGTCATTGTTTCGGTACCTGGGCACCCCAAAAAGTGACATTTTGGTAAGATTTTGCGAGGTGCAAGACTTCTCCAATTTTTCGACCATGTCATGTTTTTAAATATTGTATATTTTACTGGAGATTGGAGGTGGGAGAGCCCGGCGGTACCACTGTGGATTAGAGTTAGAATGATTTTCTGTAGCAAGAAGCCAACTTTATCCTGCCCCATCATTTCCTCCTCTTAAAACTGATCCCAATGAAAGAAAATGCATGAGACTCCAATAGAAATCAACATTACTTTCTATACAACTTCCTAGTGTCTCATACTGGACGTTAGCATTATTCCACCATTGTTTAAACCAGTGTTTCTCAACCTTGGCCACTTGAAGATGTGTGGACTTCAACCCCAAGAATCCCCCAGCCAGCCTTGCTGGCT